AAGAAAAAGCAGAGACATCACCTTGTCAACAAAGGTCCGTATATTTAAAGCTATGATTTTCCCAGTAGTGATGTTTGGAAGTGAGAACTGGACCATAAAGAAGGCTAATTGCCGAAGAATTGATGCTTTTGAATTATGGTGCTGGAGGAGATTCTTGAGAGTTCCATGGACTGCAAGAAGATCAAACCTATCCGTTCTGAAGGAAATCAGCCCTGAGTGCTCACTGGAAGGACAGATCCTAAAGCTGAGGCTCCAGTACTTTGGCCACCTCATGAGAAGAGAAGACTCCCTGGAAAAGACCCTGATGTTGGGAAAGATGGAGGGCACAAGGAGAAGGGGACGACAGAGGATGAGGTGGTTAGACAGTGTTCTCAAAGCTAATAACATGAGTTTGACCAAACTGTGAGAGGCAGTGGAAGACAGGAGTGCCTGGCGTGCTCTGGTCCATGGGGTCACGAAGAGTCGGACACGACTAAACGACTAAATTACAACAACAAGAAAACAAAACAAAACAAGCCCAGCACCCAAGCTTACAATCTAGAAGGACACAGCACACAAGGATAAAGGGATGAGGAGGGAAGAGAAAAACAGGTTTGGGTGTTATGAGGTTCTCTGCTCACAATGGATCATCAGCATCATAGAAATCTGCCTTAGATGAAGCCATTTGGTCCATCTAGCTCAGTATTGTCCACATTGGGTGACAACAGCTTTCCAGGGATTAATTTGGGAGTTTATCCCCGTGGACTTCATGCAAATCAGCTGTTTTACCACTGAGCTTTGGCCCTCCCTCTAAAATCAAACACATGCAGTGCAGGGGAAGTTGCTGTTTCTTCAATACCTCTTTTGGTGCTCTCCAACTAGCTGCATTTGCAGACTCAACGAAAAGGAAAAAATGTGTTATCTGTCTCTTTAGAAAACAATATTTTGCTATCATTTGCTGTCATCTGAAGGCAGATTACTCTCCCTGGTATTAACCCAGCACTGTTTAATCAGAAAGAGCTCCAGATCACCCATTGGATGAGTCAGAATCCAAAACGTCAAATGGGCTGAATGTAGAATCTCGCCAAAGCCAATATATACAGTTATCACCAGATCATTGGAGTGTAAGCTGTGCTGAATTTGAAAAATTGCTCTTCAATTGAGGAAATCGGGAGATGCAATAGTGACAGTCCCTCCTATGTTCCTTGCGAATCCTTAATTGTCACTACTATGGGAATGCGGATATAATGTTCATAGTGGAAATAAGGACTTCTTGGACTTACTTGGGCTTCCCTTTTGGATATTAAAGCAGCCCATTGCTTAATGTGGATTTATTGTAAAGCCCAAAACGGCCTCAGCCCTGTATACCTAAAGGAGAATCTTCACCCCCATCGTTCTGCCCGGACACTGAGGTCCAGCCCCCATCATCCAGCCCCATGAGATGCAGCTTCGAGGGCCTTCTGGCAATTCCCTCACTGCGAGAAGTGAAGTTACAGGGAACCAGGCAGAGGGCCTTCTCGGTAGTGGCACCCCCCTGTGGAGCACCCTCCCAGCAGATGTCAAGGAGATAACTAACTATATGACTTTTAGAAGACATCTGAAGGCGGCACTGTATGAGGAAGTTTTTAATGGTTGATGTTTTATTGTGTTTTAAATATTTTGTTGGGAGCCACCCAGAGTGGCTGGGACAACCCAGACAGATGGGTGACAACAAAACAAAACAAAACAAAACAAAACAAAACAAAACAAAACAAAACAAAACAAAATACTGCTGCTGCTGCTGCTACTACTGCTATCACTTTAGTGGCAGTACTGCAAATGCAGTAATCATTTTGATATACACACTTTGACACAACTTTTTAAATATATTCATAAACGTTTGTCTGAGTGTTTATTGTTGCTTTATTTTTATTTTCAATTTCATGTCATTTTCACAGGTCATATGCTTTAATGTAAACAAAGATATATCTCAATGCAGCCATGTTAAACAGTATTAAGATGAAAACGAATAAAAACTATGTTACTATAAATATAAAGACTGGAAGCTGAAAGTTTTTTTATAGAGAGAGAGATATAAAAAAGCACTGCAAATGTGAATTTCATTGCTTTAACGAGAGAAACGTCTCATGCCCACAAGCAGGGTGGAGCTGTCTGGATTTGACCATTTGCATGGAAATCTCCTAGATGACTCTGTGCTACCATGAAACATCTGTTCCATTTTTTTCTGTACAGAGGGAAAGTGGGTGGGTGTTTTTTTAAAAAATATAATTGTTCAAAACACATTCCCATGTGCCTTTCCTAGCTGGCACTTCCTGTACTTGAGGCCTCTGAGAAGATGACAAGAGTCTTTGGTGTTTCTTTCTGTGATTTATCAAAGGAGATGCCACACTCGTCTTCATCATTTTCCTTGGGAATTACCGTATTTTTCCGTCTGTAAGACACCCCCTATTTTGGGGGACTCAGATTTAAGAAAATGGCCTTGGCACTATCCGTGTATAAGACGCTGCCTAATTTTTGACATAATTTATTAGGGGGGGAAACCTAGCTTTATACATGGAAAAATATGGCACTTTTGTCTGAATTTTGATCATTTAAAGGAGGAAAAAGCATTGCATAAATATTTGGGAGGGACAGTTATTTATTGCAGAGTATGCACACATCTTTAGGCAACATGCAAAAGCATTTTTTTAACCAGGCCTTTGGTTGATTTGATTGACATCCTATGTGCTTTGAGAATGTGGTTTTTTGGGGGGGAGGGTTATTGGGTTGTTGTTTTTATTTTTGTTATTTTTGTTATATATTTTGTGGTTTTATATTTTGATTTTATTCTGTGAACTACCCTGAGACCTCCGGGAATAATAATAATAATAATAATAATATTCTCAGGCTGTATTGTTACATCATCACATTCCCTTCATTTGAGCTCAGAATAACAAGAACCTTTGCTTTGGTGAGGCAGGCTTTCTGTCCTGGGTCTTTTCCCATAGTCTTGTTTACATAACAGTGCAGTAGAAGGAATCCCTTTTTAAACATTTCATTACTGCTCGCATGTGAATGTAATGTGAAGCAGAAACAATTCCTTTTCAGGATTCTTTCAGGCTTGGATGGACCATAGATGCTGCCTTGGAAAGTTTTGGTTCCTGGCCCATTCCTTTTTTAAAAAAAAAAGGAAAGGAAAGCAAGATTCCTTTGATTCCCCAGATGTCACGGAATTCAACATGTTTGGGCTGAAGCCTTTGTCAGCTCCAAAGCGAACAGGCATCGGAGACTCCAGGAAGCTCAAATAACAAGAGCTGCTTGTGTCTGTCTTTGCTTAGGTCATTGTTTCCAATTCATGTCCTCCCTCACTGTCTGAGTCACTGTGGGGTTCCCAGATGAAAACAGAAAAAACAGGGAAACGGAAAGCAGAGCCCATTGTTAGTGCCAGTTTATCTTGACATGGCACAGGGCAAAAGGATGGCTCACACTAACTAGGCTTTGAACCTAAGGAGTCTTCTTGGATGCAGAGGAGCTGAGTGGGTCTCTCCCAGAGCAGCTAAGACAAAGCAAATATTGGAACAAGCAGAGAGGCAAGACTGCCCACACAATTTACTGGGGGTCCAAAAGGATGTGGCTCCTGCTGACTGTGTTCTTGAAGGGCATATATCCGGGTGAAGAGTCTGTGGCCCTGCTGTTAAGACTGTTGTTAATTTTCCTGGACCATTGGCCATTCTTTTTTTTTCTTTTTTTGTATTTTTATTTAGATTTTCCATCATACAATTTAATTAAAAAAAGAGAAATAATACCTAACAGAAAAGAAACATTAAATCATTACAGTGATACCTCAGGTTACATGTGCTTCAGGTTACATACGCTTCAGGTTACAGACTCCGCTAACCCAGAAATAATACCTCGGGTTAAGAACTTTGCTTCAGGATGAGAACAGAAATTGTGCTCCGGCAGCACGGCAGCAGCAGGAGGCCCCGTGAGCTAAAGTGGTGCTTCAGATTAAGAACAGTTTCAGGTTAAGAACGGACCTCCAGAATGAATTAAGTACTTAACCCGAGGTACCACTGTATACAATATCCAAAAAGAAAAAACATAAACAAAATAAAATAAATCCACCAGCCTGTTTAACTTCCCTCCACCACTACTCGTCTTCTCTAGACTCAATTTTACCCTTATCATTGCGTTCTGATTGTTTTTATTTTCTCTCTCTATATATGTCATTGATAATTTATTGTTTTGGTGCATTTACATTCTTAATCTAGGCATATTAGCATGTCTTTTTTAGAGCAATATTTTGTCATATAATCATCAAAGCATCGCCATTTGTTTTTTAGTTTTTGATTTGACTGCTGTCGTATGGATGCTGTTAATTTAGCCAATTTTAAATTTGAGAATCCATTCCTCCTTGGTAGGTAGTTCTTTAGCTTTCCATTTAGATGCTATTACTATCCTAGCTGCGGTGGTTGTGTATAAGAAAATTCTTTTTTCCGATTTTGGTATTTCTTTTCCTAAAGAGATCCTTGCAGTTGGCATTCATGCAGATGTGAAGGAGTTGCATAGTAGATGGTTGGCATGCACCTGTCTAGAGAGACAGTGGAGTGTGCCTCCGGGAGTGAGCAGCACCGAAGTGACGTCCCTTGGGGCGCAATGGAAAGCCTGGGCTCCCCAGATGACAAGCCCTGTCCCACCCCCCCAGCCTGGCTGATATGGTCCAAAGGAAAACAGAACAATACATTTGGCACCAGCTTGGCTGCAGGAGTTGCCAGAAGGAGGCGTACAAGGCACCATCCAACCATCTTAAGGACTCCCCTCTGGATTTGTGTAGGGCAGAGCCAAAGCCCTGGGTGACGTCTCCAGAGGGGCACCATTGAGGCTCCCAGTCTGTGTTTGTGTATGCAAATGTACATGGGGGTGTGTGCCAAACTGGGTCTTTGACCCGGGTGAAAAAAAGCCTAGTTTCGTCCCTGATGTAGTCTTTGCTCCTTAGCCTTTTCTTCTCTCAAAGCTGTCTGAAATATACTCGGAGTCGAGAGTGGATTTCATGCTCTTTATTCAGCTCATAGTGGTGAGGAGGAATGGAAGTTCCCCCAGAATGTCTGCTTTATATACATTATTTACACAATGGGCCCCACGTGATTGGCTAATTCCGGGATTCTCCTGTAGGCCAATCAGGTTGCGGATTCACTTCCACCTGGAGCTGGATTGGGTGGCTCCTGTGGACCAATCAGACTGCTCATTCAGGATCCTATTGTTCTAGGACCAATCAGACTGCTGCATTTTGGATCCTCAGTACATAACAATGTCCCAAAAGGAAGCAGAGGTTTGGGTCAGAGTTTTTCTTCTCCTAGATGGGCTTCCTTCCCAGGTTGATGAGCCCCATCTGTCCCTTACTTCCCTCTACACAGCACATGCAGAAACTGCCTTATCTGGGGCCGGATTTAGTTTTGATGAGGCCCTGAGCTACTGAAAGTAATAGGGCCCTTTGTATGCCCAGCTGTCCTTTGTCAACAACAAATTGTTGCTGTCTTTTGTGTTGAATATATGCTATATGGTAATTTATGGACCTAATAGGTATCTAAAGCCATTTGTACAAAACAAAATAGGAGCCTACACAACACAAAAAACTGTTGCTGTATGTAGGTTTTATTTTATTTGTTTTTTTTATCTTATATTTTGGAAATGTATATCCAGGTGTTTTTTTCCTTTATTTTTTTGGGGGGCCCCAAGAGAGTGAGGCCCTAAGCTATAGCTTGTTTAGCTTATACATAAATCCGGCACTGGCCTTATCTACTGTTGGGCCCAATATTGGTCTTATCTTCTCAATCTGTCTTTGCATGCAGGGGGAAGTCTCTAATTCACTGAGGGTTTGAGACCCATCAGCTACCAGCACCTGGTTTAGCTGACTAGTCAAATGGGCTTCCTGGGCTGTGTCCACTGTCGCAATGCTGGCAGCTTATAGAAGCCGCAATGGAAGACCAGGAGAAGGCAACATGTGGCTTTTTCCAGATCAAGAAGTGCAGGCAGACTGATAGGCCACAGAGCACTGGAGAAAAACAGGAAAGAAAAAGACACATCTCTCTTGACTGCCTCGCAGCTCAAGGTAAGCTCAAAATCCTGCGCCCACAGAAATGCTAAAGATAATCTAAACTGTCTTGAGAACGAAGGAGGAAAATGGAAGTCTTTTTTCTCAGGGAAGGAAACTTCTGGGAAACTGGTGGACACGTTTTGGCTCAGTGCTTATTCATATGGCTTATCATATGATTCAAAAGTAGCCACATAGATATGACATAATACCAACTAAAATTTAATTAAGTGCATACCTTTGGTCAAGGAAACCAACTCCATTTGTGGCTGTCTATATCATCACAACATAGTACCAGAATGGTATTGTACTGACAACAGTCTTATCATTATTATCAAAAGTGGCTGCGTGTGAGTGACCTTGGGCGAAAGAAAGTCACAGCTAATCCTCAAACTCATCTTCTGTTCCTATTAGCACAATGTTCCGAAGGTTCAGATTTCATTCTCCATTAAGGTGAATGCACTGTGGAATGGTTGCCGGGCGGAAGGGCTCTGCTGACTCCACCCCCTTCCAATTACTATTCTGTGTTCAATGGGGGCTGCCCTTGGAAACAGCTCAGAAACGTCAGCTGGTCTCCAAATGTAGCAGCCTGGGTTTGTTTTACCCTGGGTAGGTCAACAAGGATTTTAAACTGTTTCTCTCAGAACTGCGTTAATCAAGGGTTATTTTGGCTGGGGTCTGAAGCTCAATTTTAGACACTGGTTTTGGCATTTCCTAAGTTTTGCCAGACCAAATAAATGAAATTTGGGACATCGCCGGAGATCTTCATAGCTTTGTTTGGATTGCATTGACCTACTTTCAGTGGGGAATGTACAATGCTATTTGCCTCAGTCTAGGTTTCTAGAGCTTGGCAAAGGCTCTGAATGATACACTTTCCTAACACATTCCAAGGCCAGATTATAGCTCATATTGAAGTTCCTGTTTGCACTGGCTCAGCCTCCCCAGCACTGAGCATGCCACCCCTGTAAACTTTCCCTGGGTGCCTGGATTGGACACCCAGCCTCCCTGCTGTTCTGAACAGAGCTTCTCTCTGTGAGTGAGTGTAACAGTGCCTCCTTCCTCCCACCCCCCGCTTGATGGGGGACTTGCACCATTTTGCGGTCTTGTCTTTCTTGCTGCTCTTGGTAGCCATTTTTTTGTTACATCACATCCCTTCAACAACATTTCCGGGACCACGGCACTTCCTCAAAATTCCAAATGTGTCAACTGGCCCCCCAAAGGTTGGCAGAGCTGCACAGGGCCAAATTCCATTGAAATCAGGAGGGCTGACTTCCAGGACTGTCACCTGGTTAATTAATCTTAGCTGATTTATTAAACTGGATAGAAAGCAATACTTTTGAAGGAAAAATGCACACTTTCCTCTTTTTTATATATGGTGTGTCCATTTAGCAGTGTTTCTCAAGCTGTGGGTCCCCAGATGTTGTTGGACTACAACTCCCATCATTCCTAGCCAGCATGACCAGTGGTCAGGGATGATGGGAGTTGTAGTCCAACAACATCTGGGAACCCACAGTGAGTTACTGTATGCGCTGCTGAAAGGTCACTCACAACCCAACACGTAAAAGGTAAAGGGTTAGGGTTAGGTCCAGTCGTGGCCGACTCTGGGGTTGCAGCACTCATCTCGCTTTACCGGCCGAGGGAGCCGGCGTACAGCTTCCGGGTCATGACTAAGCTGCTTCTGACGAACCAGAGCAGTGCACGGAAACGCCATTTACCTTCCGACCGGAGCAGTACCTATTTATCTGCTTGTACTTTGACATGCTTTCAAACTGCTAGGTTGGCAGGAGCAGGGACCGAGCAACGGGCGCTCACCCCATTGCGGGGGTTCGAACCGCCAACCTGATCAGCAAGTCCTAGGCTCTGTGGTTTAACCCACAGCGCCACCCATGTCCCACAACCCAACATACTTCTGAGCAAACATGCTTGGAATAAGACTGCAAGAATGCTTTCACGAGCAACCTTCAAAACATATTCTAGTCAACCGTACAAATCCACTTGTGAGCACTGTGACCACAAGTAGGACAGACCTGGTTTTAAAGAGGTTGCGCATTCAAATCCAAGCAATATAGGTTTTAGTTCCATTTTTCAGGCAACGGGAATACACACACAAAACCACACATCCTTAAAAAAAAAATCTAAGTATAATTCCTGGGCACAGCCCAAATGTCACACAGTCTTAATCATTAATTTCAGGTTCTAGGCAACGGATTGTCCCTGGGGCGAACCCTTAGGTGTGTCACTTTCTTCCCACTTTCAGACCCGACGCACAACTGCTCACGCTGAATGTGGAGAACAACGACAACAACCACCCTCCCGCGCCCAGCAAGGGCACCTCTGCGCGCCTCCCTGTGCGTAGAGGTCAAACTAAACCCCTGCTCTTCCTGATAGATTTCGGAAGAGCTCTTCTCCATAGTGGAGGTGATGATGACTCACTGAGTGCACACATGAAGTAAACAAATAAAAAGTTAGCAGCGGCAAAGTTGGATACTTGCAATCCTGCAAAACCCCAAGAGGTGCGAGAGATTTGGAGAGAAGGGGAAGGAAGAGGATCCGCGCGCGCGCATGTGGAAGTTGGGCTCTCCCAACTCTGATGCGCCTGGGAGGACCACCTGATCCCCTTGGCGGGGGTGGTGGGTGGCACCCATGCCACCTGAGTCACCCCTTTCTTTCTGCCTCCCTCCGCGTCCTCGCTCGGTCTCCATGGCGCGCGCGCAGCCCGGCCAAGTTCCTTGGAACTTCGCCTCCCTCTGACGCAAACAATCGTCGCGGGGCGCCGGCCTCTCCTCCCTCGCAGCCAATGGGAAGTTGGGGGAGCCCCGGGCGGGGACCAATCACGGGGCGCTGGACGCTTCCCCGGTCCGGACTGACCTTCCCCGGGCCGGAGGGGATAAAAGAGCCTAGAGGAGGCAGCCGAGGTTTGGCTGCTGCTGCTGCTGCTGCTGCTGCGCGGTGCTGCCTCTCCTGCGCTCCGGGAAGGGAAGCGGCGATCCAGCTCTGCGCAAGCAGCGGAGGAGAGCGGGGAGGAGAGCGCAGGCCGCGGAGGAGCTGGCGGAGGGCCGGGCTGATCTGCGTGTGGTTGCCGAGGGCGGAGAGCAGGAGCGAGAGGCGCAGCTCATTCATTGCAGCAGCAGCAGGAAGCCGGCTCGGCTGCAAGGAGCCGGCAAGCGGCGTCGGCGCCCACGCGCAATTTCCCCGCTCCAAGTCCGAGGCGGCATCATCGCCGGCAGCGGAGGAGAGGTAAGGAGGATTCCGCTCGGGCTTCTTCCCCGTCGAGCAGCCGCTTCCCCTGGGCTCCGAGAGGCGTCCGTCCACCCACCCACCCGCCAGTGGGGCGGGCGACCCCTCTCTCTGCAAAAGCAGGAGGCGCAAGGGGAGATCTGGGGCGAAGGAGGAGAGAACTGGGGGTGCGGGTGGCGAAGATGGAGATCTGGGAAGAGGAGGGAAGGAGGGAGGGAGGGGCGCCTCGAAATGATGCGGGGGAATCGTAGAATTGTCAAGCTGGAAGGGACCCTCAAGGATCAACTAGTCCAGCCCCCCCTGCAATGCAGGAATCACAACGGGAAGCATCCAGGACAGATGGCCGTCCAACCTCTGCTTGAAAACCTCCAAGGAAGGAAGAAGGAGAGTTGGGGGGCGGGGGCGGGGAGCTGCAGAGCCTGGGGTTGTGAGGAGTTTTCCATTCTGCTCTGAAGCCTTGGCCTTGGAGATCGTTCTCCTAAAAGTAATAAGGTCCTCTCCAGAATGCCATGGGGCAGGAGAGAGAATTTGCCAAGCAAGGAGGGGAGCAGGACTCCTGAGCTTGGAGGTGAGGAGAGGTGGAGGGCCTGGAGAGGGGAGAAAGGTGAAGGCAGCGAGGAGGAGGTGGGTGGAGAAGGTGGGGAGAGCCTAGATCATGGGGCTGCAGCATCTGGAAAGACAAAGTTGTGGCATTTCATTGGTCTGGAATGGGGAAGGGCTGTGGCTCGGTGGCAGAGCATCTGCCTGGCATGCAGAACGTCGCAGGTTCAATCCCCAACATCTCCAGCTTTGGCTGAGAGAGACACCCTCCCTGAAACCCTGGAGCTCCACTCCTGGTCAGTGTGGGCAAGACTGAGCTAGATGGACCAAGCAGCTGCCTCACACTGAAAGCACTTGGGGCCCCTCAGTATGACCGAACTGGCCAATGGAGAGTGCACATTGAGTGAGTTTTTGTGGTAAATCGCACAACGCAAACCATGTTCACCTCAGCTGCCAGAATGCAACCAGATTTGGCAGCGGGGTGAGGCTGGCGGTGTGGCAGCTTCGTAGTTGGGTGCAGTCGCACACCCAGCTCACTGCACACTGTATTTTTGCATCGCTACACTCAACTTGGGTTCTCATTGACGCCAGCGTGGTCATGTGAACTGAGGCTCCTGTCACAGGCCTGCCAGCTGATTCACTGTGACACCGCTTCATAGTTTGTCCCTTCCGACCAACGGCCGAGGTGACGGTCTCAGTTGTTTCATAGCAAGCTTCTCTGAGCCAGGAAGCGAGTACCTTTCAACTTCTCAGCAAGCGCCAGTATGACAGAAAACTGTGTTTCTGAGTTGGCTGGCAGAGTTCCCTCATCTCAGGGGTATCAATAGGAAGAGAGAGACGCAGCAGTGACAACAGCGTGCTTTGATAATCCTCCTGAGCTGGGCTCAAAAGATGCCAGAAAGGAGAATATCCTTCTAAAAAGCAACAACTTTTGCCCCATTAGGTGCTTGGGAAACCCACAAGCTCCAAAGCCCGTAAGGCAGCCCTTTTCCAAACGGCTGTCTCCAGTGGTCAGTCGAGCCTACCTCACAGGGTTGTTGTTGGGGTTTAAATGAGGAGAACCATGGATATGGCACCTTGAGCTCAATGGACAAAAAGGTGGGATATAAATTCAATAATAAATAAATATATTTTTAAAAGTTGCCTTCCAGGGAGCCTCCCCCCACCCCTGCACTCACTCCACAAACTTTGGCATCATCTCCTGCACACACACACACACACACACAGAGCAAGCCAATACATTGGGAGAGCACTGGGTTGTTGTCAAGAGTTGCTACGAGGAAGAAAATAAATAAATGGGAAGTCACATTACTGCATGTGTTATACTGATTGGGAGTGCAGAGGGAGCGTAGGGAAGATTTGTAGATTGCTACCTTTCTGAATTTTAAATCTGCACAAATTCTGGGTTTCGGATGCATGGAGCTGGAGCAGCCCATTGAGGTTCCACAAAGAAAGAGGAGCAAATGAAGCTGCCTTATACCATAGAATTGTAGAGTTGGGATGCCAAGAGTCACCAACCAGTGTGGTGTAGTGGTGAAGAGCGGTGGACTCGTAATCTGGTGAACTGGGTTCGCGTTCCCGCTCCTCCACTTGCAGCTGCTGGGTGACCTTGGGCTAGTCACACTTCTCTGAAGTCTCTCAGCCCCACTCACCTCACAGAGTGTTTGTTGTGGGGGAGGAAGGGAAAGGAGATTGTTAGCCGCTTGGAGACTCCTTCGGGTAGTGTTAAAGCGGGATATCAAATCCAAACTCTTCTTCACGTCCAAGCTCCTGCTAAGCAGGAATATAAACTGAAGCCTCCACGACAGATGGCCATCCAATCTCTGCTTTAAAAAACTCCCAAGGAAGGAAGAGTCCAAATTAAAACATTGGTTTATCTAGCTCAGTATTGCTTACACTGGTTCGGAGGCAGACAGTCCAGCTCATCTGTTGTCTACACACTGCCTGGTAGCAGCTCTCTAGCTTTCAGACATTTCCAATCTGACCTGGAGATACTGGGGATTGAACCCAAGACTATTCTGCATGCATGTTCTGCCACTGAGCCACAGCCCTTCCGCCAGTTTGCTTCACCATGTCAAGAACTGTGGTTCTGAAGCTCATATCGTTCTGAGAGCTTCAGTTGTAATTCTCATTCAGTCTTTGACGTGCTGTTTATGCCTCAAGCTTTGAATTTCATAACCTATCTTCTGCCTCTTTGGGGGTCAAAGCAAACTGATCTCCTCCCACTATTTTTCGTGCCCATTAATGATAAATGCCTGCTCAATAGAGTTTGGCGCAATCTAAGAATGTTGCAAGGCATGCTCTTCATTCTGTTATACCAGGAACTTCCAGTCAATGAAGTTGACGTCGGTCACATTTACACATGTTACCTTTATAGCACTTGGAACAGTCTTGGCTTCCCCCAAAGAACTCTGGGAGTTGTAGTTTGTTATAGGTGCTACAATTCCCCTAGTTCCCTGGGAAGAAGGACTCACTGTTAAACCGCTCTTATTTCCTAACATTTCTCAACACCTTTCACAAGCTACAGCTCCCCAAATTATTCAGGGGAAACCATGGTGATTTGAAGTGGTATCACAGTGCTTTAAATGGGTGGTGTGAATGTGACCATAGATAGCTTTGTTAGTTAAATCAAAATACATATCCTGTGTCTTTTTTGGGGGGGGGGTAATATTCCTTATCCTATCCTAGGAAACCTCAAGGGCAATGGCCCTGAACAGATCTTTGCCTACAAGTAGTTTAGATTCCTGGTGTCCGGTAAAAGCTAACTTTGCAGTTTTCAGTTTCACCTGCCTTAAGGGAAGTTGTTTGCAGTCCGGACCAGATTTAAGCTGCCCTGTTTGTTCAACCAGCTCTTCCCTCCCCGTTTTATTATTTTTTTTTAAAAAGGGACATGGGGTAGTGGGGGGAGGAGAGGAAAGTTAATTCCTAACTCTTGTGCTGAAAATTAGGAGGCACAAGAGGTGAAAGGATGAGGGGAGAAGTGTCCTTGCAGACTTTGTTGGGGGTTTAGGCAATTATTATCTAGAGCTGCTTAAGATTCTGCTGCACAAAGGAGGACATTGCAGACAGTGGCTAAATCAGCCAGAGGGTTTGGTGGGATGCACAAGTCCTGTGATTTTCAGATGGAGGGCGGCTTACAAATTTAATAAATAAAATAGCATAAAATTAAAAGTCCATTGTGATGTGGGAGGTGTGAAGGAAGGTTGAGGAGTTAGTAGAGGGAAAGAGAAGGCTCTCTGGACATCAACATTTAAAAAAACCCCTGTAATTATTTAATTTTGAATTTATATCCCACCTTTTTGTCCATTGAGCTCAAGCTGGCATATGCATGGTTCTCCTCTTTCCTCATTGAACCCCCACAACAACCCTGTGAGGTAGGCTAGACTGAGAGCAACTGGCCCAAGGTGGCCAAGTGAAGTTAACAGCTGGGTGGGGATTTGAACCCTCGTCTCCCAGGTTCTAGTCCAGCACTCTAACCACTGTGCCACATCTTTGCAGATTGCAGCCCCGCCATAGAGTGATGCTTAATTACTTTTATAATTTAGAGCAGGCATAGGCAAGCTCCAGCCCTCCAGATGTTTAGGACTACAATTTCCACCATACCTGACCAGTGGTCCTGTTAGCTAGGGATGATGGGAATTGTAGTCCCAAACATCTGGAGGGCCGGAGTTTGCCTATGCCTGATTTAGAGACTCCATCGCATGGCAGAGCTTTTATGCTAGCTTGTCTAAATGCATTCCCTTCATCTATATTGTTTGGAAGGTTTCAAAAAAAATCCTCTCCCAGAACAGATTTTGTTCCTGTAATGAGAAAACACCAGATACAATACACCACATAATTTTGGGTTGCCCTCTTCTCAACACCCATCAGAGATCTCCTAGTGACTCCCTTACAGCTCAAAATATCGATTTGCAGAGAGTCTGTAATCCAATATTTGTTGAGGGATGATACTCCCGAAACTATCAAGATAGTCTCGTGATACTTAGCCGAGATTTCTAAAGCTAAATCTAAAGTTGCCTGATTTATTTAATGGTGGTTATCTAGTCTTTTTATTGTATGTGTTTGAATTATCAATGTATTTGGATGACTTTGCATGGTTTTATGATTTTACTGTTTTAACTTATGCCAATAAAGGCTAGTTAAAACTAAGTTGCAACAACACTGCTCCATGCTGGGTGGTGCTGGAAGGAACATAGGCAGCTGCCTTTGGCCGTGTGAAATCCTTGGTCCATCTAGCTCAGTATTGTCTGATCTACTTAGCCAGGTGGACGAATGTTCTGGCAGCTTTCTATAGTCCTGCGAACTCACTGGTAAACCCTTGGTAAACCACTTTTGCTCTCAGAAAGTCTTCTTTTGGAGTTGAAGGTGCCTTTGGCTTGGCCATACGGTTTGGGTACTGTACAGGTATTTTGAGAACGCGTGTTTCTGAGCTACACAGAGTTGCTTGATGAAAGCACATGAATAAATACCATTACGCTCAGTGGGGAGGGGGGACTTAGTGTTAGTTATAATAATTTTTATTTGTATCCCGCCCATCTGCCTAGGTTGCCCCAGCCACTCTGGGTGGCTTCCAACAAATATAAAAGCATAATGAAACATCAAACATTAACAGCTTCCCTATAGAGGGCTGCCTGCAGATGTCTTCTAAAGGTTCTGTCAACACCAACACTTTGAATTGTGCTTGGAAACGTACTGGGAGCCAGTATAGATCCTTCAGGACTGGTGTTATATGTTCTCGGAGGCCACTCCCAGTCACCAGCCTGGCAGCCACGTTCTGGATTAGTTGTAGTTTCCAAGTCACCTTCAAAAGTAGCCCCACGTAGAGCGCATTGCAGTAGTCCAAGCGGGAGATAACCAGCGCATGTCATAAGGTCCAAACAACACATTATGGGAGAGTTCTGTGGTTGATCTCCTGCTTCTCAAAAAAAAAAAGTTCATAAAAAACTGAGCAGCGTCAATCTGCTGATGTTTTTGTCTTTATTTTAATGCAGCTGGGCGTGGGGGTCTGAATTTGAACAGAACTATAGCACTGGGGAATTAAGGTGTTTTGACACACACACACACACACACACACACCCATGATGTTTTCCTGGTCCAAATTGTCCTGCTCCCCAAGCTGCAGTTAGCTTTGCAAGATTGCAAAGTAAAACACACATTAAATTGGGAATAGCCAAAGTGGCGCATTTCAGGTGGTGTTGGGCTGGAGTTCCCATCATCCATGACCGGTGGCCTTTGTGTGCATGCACAACTTTTGTGTTGAAGAGCACCCTCTGATAAGAATTGTACAATGGGCTCAGAGGGGCAACGTCTGAGTGGGCAGCAGTGTGCTTGTGTGTCCTAATCATTGTGCTTCTTCCTTTCCCAGCATTCTCACCTCTCTTGGGCCTTCATGAAGAAACGGCTTGGTAGACCATTGGGAAGCCACCTTCCTTGACGCGCCACCCCAGCGATGCCCTGGAACATCAAATGGCTGAGCAGCTACAGCAGCCACAGCTCCCAGTCCCAGAAGCAATGCAAGAAGTCCTCCTTTGCCTTCTACCAAGCGGTGAGGGACCAGCTGCCCGTGTGGCTGTTGGAGGACATGAGGCGCATGGAGGCCTTCCACTGGCAGGAAGGGGGCAAAGTCAGCACCTACTCCCCTTCCGAGGCCCTCCTCTACGCCCTGGTGCATAACCACCAGCCTTACGCCCGCTACCTGCTGAGCAACTTCCCTCAGAGTGCCCTGGCTATCCCCAGCCTTCACTTCAGCTGCTGCCATTCCTCCGCTCCTCACTTGGCCATGGCTGTGCGCTACAACCGTGTCCACATCCTTCTGGAGATCCTGAAGGCCATCAGAGACTTCCCGGCGAGCGACCGGGCCAGCTATTTGGACCGCAGAGGGTGCAGCCGAGTGGAAGGAGGCAAGACCGCCCTCCATGTGGCTTGCGAGCTGGTGAGGCCTGAGTGTTTGCTCCTGCTGCTGGGCCACGGGGCCTCACCCTGCCTTGTTGACTGCACGGGGAACACGCCCTTGGACCTCCTCCTGCAGCAGATCTGGGAGAGCCCGGCCTCGAACCTGCGCACCAAGCTGCTTCTCCTGGACTCCCTGTTCCTCTTTGTGCCTCAGGGCTCCCACTGTGCCATGAAGGAGCAGCTGCTGCAGGACTCTGAGCAATGGCAGGACCTGCTGGGGAAGCCCAGGTTCCAGTGGCTGGCGGGCTTAGCGCCTCCCTCCCTCTTTGTGAGTTCCATGCAAGTCTTAATCGGGACCATTACGCCAGATCAGTTCCCAGAGGCGCTGGACGACCTGCCTTTGCCACACTTCCTGAAGCCCTTGGACCTGAAACTGAAGAGTTAAGAACTTTCCCCCCGGGACGTCCTTCCTTCCTTCGCAGTTCCCGCTTGCGTGATGAAAATAGGGCTCTCGGCTCTTGTGCGGAGAGCCGGTGTGTTTAATATAAAAACTGTGGGAGCGGGAGAAGCATTTGTTTTCATTAGAATTTGTTTTTTTAAAAGCCCTGACTGTGGTGTTGTCTTTTATTTGAATATGGTGGAATACCTGCAGAGCATTTGAGAGGAAATGTTTTGCTTGATGGTGAAGTGCAGATATTAAAAGCAAGCTTTGGCCCCTCCAGATGCTGTTGGACTCAATGGCCAAGGGCTATGAGAATTGGAGTCTAGCAGTATTTGGAAGGCTACATGCTCCTCATGCATGTCTGAAAATGCAACGTAGGTGTTCAGAGCTTTGGCTAGCAGCCTAAATAATTAGATAAATCAGGGCTAGCCAACTTGCTGTCCTCAAGGCTTTGCTGGGCTCCAGCTTCCAATGTCCCTGCATGGTCATGATGGAGTCAGCAATGTAAACGGTACCAAGTAGGCCATTCCTGCAATGTGAAAATTGGCCGCTGCTGCAAGCCTTCACTTCATATTATACAGTTGTACCTTAGATCCCGAACGCCTTGGTACTCGGACGTTTTGGCTCCCAAACACCGCAAACCCGAAAGTGAGTGTTCCGGTTTGTGAACGTTCTTTGGAACCCGAATGTCCGATGGGGCTTCCGATTGGCTGCAGGAGCTTCCTGCAGCCAATCAGATGTCAGCATCGCCCTTGAGCCAGTGCCACCAACTGGACTCATCCACTTCAGCCCTGACTGGGCTAGGCGAGCTGGGTAGCACTTCCAGAGACCACCTTCTGCACAGGAACAGGTCAAAGTGCTGTGGACTCACAGCTTAGAGTTGTGAGCACCGGATTCACTCCAACAAGAAGACAGTCGTCGCACAGCAGAGTACAGCAGACTCTAGCAGAGTATATAAACAACTCGGAGAGCAGCTCTGTAGAATATCTTCTTTATTCTATAACTACAACTATTATACAACTATATACAGAGCTAAATAGGTCTAAGCATAAATGAATGCTGCACTGCACTGAGTGTCTGCAGCTGCTCTTAGCAGCAACCTTATCTCTACACATGATCTCTAACACTCAGTCCCTCTCTCTCCCTCCGACACTGACTGACTGACTGACTGATTTGGTGCTGGAGCAGAATAAGTAGAGAGCAGAACACGCCTCCTCCTCTCTGGAGAATCAGCAGCCTCCTCAGGAGATTCTTGGATATGGGAGGGGTGAAATCTCCTCATCAGAAGCCGCGCTTTGGTTTCCGAACATTTTGGAAGTCGAACAGACTTCCAGAACGGATTCCGTTCGACCTCCGAGGTACGACTGTATATCCTTTCTGTATGATCTAGGCTCCTCTTTTAAGCACAAACACTGGTAACTCACAAAACGGGTCCAAACCTTACGGTGATTTCCCGGAGCGCTCATAAAAATGATTTGGATTGCACAGTCCCTTTTCCATCCTTATTCTCAGAGGAGAAGGCTGTCCATGGCTATTCGTCATGATGGCAATATTACCTCCAGTTCCAGAGACAACATGCCTCTCAAATACCATATGCTGGAGATGAGGGGTAGTGAGCGTGCCAGGGGGCACATGCCGTGTGGCTTTGCAAAGGTGTGGGGCTTTTAACCTTTGTTCTGATCCACACATAGGGCTTATGCACCTGCCAGCACATCCACACCTCTCGGGAGTGCGTTCCACAGCAATTATATGGGGTTGGAATATCGTTTTAAACATAGACGTGGAACCATGGGGTGCATTCCAGAGAGGGCGAACATGGAGGAATATTTATATTGCATCAAAACACAGTTGTTAGGTTATTATAAATAACTAATCCACCTGCTCCCCGAATGCATTCTTTTATCCCCCCTCCCCCTTTCGTATTCCAGTACTTTGCAAAAGATGCCCATTTGCTGTTAAGAGAATTGTTACTTTATCTGCCTTCGGCTGGATGTGAATAACAGCACAGCCCATAGAAAGAGAAAAGCACAGAGGGTTTGGGTTGAAGGAAGATGCTTTGTGTAGGCAATTGATCCGTATTAGCTCATCTTCCCCAGTTCCAAGTATCACACCTGGGGGGCCTCTTGCAAGCCAGGCATGTTTCCCGCAACTGACCTGTGAGCAATTCAAATCAGTGGAATCTGAGAAACTGATGCTTTGATCCGGCTGAACACGCATGCATCTGCTAGGGATAGATAATCAGCAATAGCACTGTTGTGATGTCCCCCTCGTTCATGAGTAGCAGCTTGGCAGCATCACTGATATTTTGGCCAGGGCAATGTGTGCACATTCCCAGCAAAGGAACATCATCTACAGGATTCATTTGCATGTGTGGTTCGTCCCCCATTTATAAAGAGGTGAATGGAAGAGGCATTAAAGGATCCTGCAGTCCTGTGGGTGTTTGCAATGGTTCAGGAGTGGCATATTGGCTAATCTGCCAGCCTGAAATCACTTAACACAGGATAGGATGGAGGGACAGTACCATGCCACTTACCACTTTAAGCTTCCCGTCTAGGGGTTTCTGTGCTATTTAACTGAACACCTGCTTCAAAAATGGCAGATTCTTAGACTCACCCCCTGCATTGCAGGGGGTTGGACTAGATGACTCCTGGGAGTCGATTCCAACTCTATGATTCTACTCCCCCGGATCCTCATTAGGACCCGGAATTCATTAATGCTTTGGAAAGGTGCTGGGACTGCCAAAGGCTTTGAACAAGAGGCCTACTGTTCTGACACGGAGTATTACCTCACAAGCAGCGATTCTGTTTCCTAACACTTGACAGCATGCCCAAATCAGGCCTTTCAAAGGGGTCACTCATCGCGATCATCACTGTGGCCTTTCTGCAGGGGCTGCTAGCTGGAAAAGAAAGGGGGAAAAGGCAGCTAATGCCCATTATACAGCTGCTGTCATGCTTAATAAAGCTATCTGGGGTTGCTATGTCAACCAAACTAATGGGCAGCAAGGCCAGCTTCCAAAAATGGCAGCCACAGAGCAAGAGGGGAAAGGGAGAAATCCCCTTCGCTTACAAAAGAAAGAGAAATATACTTTTATTTTAGTCAGGATTCATCAAGGGTATATTTCAATCCCGTTTCCAATCAATTCAGCCCTGGAATATGTGAAGTCTAGGAAGAAGAGAGTTACTCTGACCATGTGCAAAGTATCTCTCTATCACCACTGAGTAATCGTCGTCAAAATGCACACACCCACGGCAGACGTTTCCGGTGCCGAGCTGATTGTATATTTATTTATTTAACAATATTGGTATGTTATTTAATCATCAAAACCTGGAAGCAGTTTATATAAAATATACATTAAAATTACCGATGAAAGCAAAAACAATTTAGCCTTAAAAAAATTCCCAAATAAAATACCAGCAGTTTTTTTTTAAAAAACATACATTATAAAAGACATACAAAAAGGCCTATGAAATTTACATGTCTGGGGAGGCTTTCTTCAACAAAATTGTTTTTTAGCAGGAGCTGGAAGAAGTACAGTGAAGGTGTCTGACTAATCAAGGAGCAACAAATCCCATACACTGTGACTCTTTCCCACCCCACCATATATGAGAAAAAAATGAGAATTTCAATGATAGAACACTGTTCTGTTCCTTGCGTAAACATGGGAATCATTTTGAAAATCTAGTTTCCAAACGACATGGAAGGCAATAAGATCTCAGATTTTATTTTTTTTAATGGTTTTTAATTGTGTGTTTTGTATGCATAATGTTGCAAACTTCTGTGATGTTCTTTACGGCTAGCAGTATATAAATATTAACAATTTCAATAAATAAAAAGTGGGGTGGCGAATCCCTTTGCAGCCATAACAGTAGAAGAATAAAGGAAATCTTGATCCCTCAAGTCTAGTCTCAGGAGTGAAGGAGACAAATGCATTCAAAGAGAACAGGCCAGCCAACATCGCAACTAGTTTTGCCTATTATACCATGTACTTCCCACTACGTATCAGTCAGAGGAAGGTTCTGGAATTGCCGCACAATTGGCCACAAGCAGCCTGCTCCTGGGACACTCTGCAATCGTTTCTACACAGTCTGGGGGTGGCGGCGTTTGACCTTGCCTGGCGGAGAAGTATTCCGCTCAGCTTATTTCAGAAAACAGTTATCTTTCTAGGCCAAGAGGTGTTGCATCACTCGTCCCCTATCACATTCGCGGCCCAAAGGAAAAAGGGGGGGAAAGCAGCAAAGCATTGAGATCAAGTGTCAGGCTCAGAGGAGAGGGAGATATCAGCATGTAGCTTAGACACGCTTGAACTCACGGAAATCCCCAAGCTTTATAAACACACTGAGATACTTAGCATTGGAACCCTGCGTGATTTTTGTACATGCATTGGGAGAAAAACCCACAACCTTGCTTATGGCAAAAATTATTTTTCCTTCTGCACCTTTTCTTTTAAGCTTGATTCACCTGCTGCCCTGTGATTGGGTAAGGTAATGGTAAAGGGACCCCTGACCATTAGGTCCAGTCGTGACCGACTCTGGGGTTGCGACGCTCATCTTGCTTTATTGGCAGAGGGAGCCAGCATACAGCTTCCGGGTCATGTGGCCAGCATGACTAAGCCGCTTCTGGCGAATCAGAGCAGCGCACGGAAATGCCGTTTACCTTCCCACCGGAGTGCTACCTATTTATCTACTTGCACTTTGATGTGCTTTTGAACTCCTAGGTTGGCAGGAGCTGGGACAGAGCAATGGGAGCTCACCCCGTTGTGGGGATTCGAACCGCCGACCTTCTGATCGGCAAGTCCTAGGCTCTGTGGTTTAACCCACAGCGCCACCCGCTTCCCGTGATTAGGTAGTTATCCTTAAAATAAAATTTTTAAAACGGCTTTTATCGATCCATGTCTCTGGTTTTCTCCCAGGCCCTGACAAAAAGAACTCTCAGCCCAGTTCTCGAAACAGCATCTTGGACGTTTGCATGCGCATGTGGAAAGAACATGACCAGGATATGCGCTG